GTGAATAGTCAGAGAGTTATGTACCATGTGTGATACACACTTAGGCGATCATGTATCTTTCGATACATGACTGACGAGGCATATTTTTCCCGCAGTAGGTTACCATTACTTTCTGCGGTAAACCAGTTGCCACCCAAAGCTATACAATCCGGTCTGTTCTATTTACTCATAAGCTGGGGGAGAAGAAGAGGATTCATAACTTTCCCAAGGGTATTAGCGTGTAATGTAATGGATTCGCCTGGAATTTGAACTCGGCTCCCCGATTCCTCAATTCGAGCCGCTATCCATTGCTCCACCGTGCCTCCGCGAATGTGAATTACTACATAATAATACATGACACTGACTGACTGTTCGAGAGATATTTACTCATTTGTTCTGGTACAAGGCCTGAATTACGCGACATTAAGCGAGGGGTGAAGTCATTATATTTGAAGACATACTGTATGTATTTTTATTTCATCCAAACTATGGAAAATAATATGCAACCAAATGAGACCTCTATTTAATTTAGCCATGGCAACCATTGATTAATATCTCTTATCTGAATGAACTGTTGAAATGGGAAAGATATTTTGCCTAGTCTTTCGGTTTGACATCAAAGACGGTGTCAAGGCGAAGATTGCCTGAGGGAGTTGAGTCTTTCTCATTGGCGCCAATGATCAGTAAAAGTCAGTACGATGTTTTTTTCAAAACAGGCAAACCGAAGTCACTTGCAAAGCTGGCATAACATTGTTTTCCGTCTACCATATAGCCCATATATGGTAGATGGAAAAAATGTCACGCCAACCTTGCAAGTGCTACATAAAAGTTAACTTCATATAATAATAATAATAATAATAATAAAAATCATAAACCTCTCACAAAACACACAGTCCAGTAAATCACTGGAGTTTAATGCATTTAAATGTGAACAGATGTTTGTAAAAATTTGCTCAATATTAAAAAATAAAGAAAATTAGAGTTACTATAGTTAATAAACAAAGACAAGAAGTTTAGTTGTGAAACTTGAGGTTGGATAGATAAGTATTTTGAACTTTTCTTTACTTTTTAATTATATATATATATATATATATATATATATATGATAAGATTAGCCATTGCAGCCAGGCAAAAAAAAACACCCCCCACCAAAAAAAAAAAAAAAAGCTTGACATATAACAAACACCTCTACTTCCATCAAAGCAGTGACTCCTTGACAATGAAGAACACACCCTAGATCACACCTCTATTTCAAAACTATAAATGAGTAAAACATTCCGTTGCTTAGTTATTCCAAACTTAGCCTGAGGATGAAACTGCCACCCAGTAGTTAAGGTTAAATTTGAAATTAAACTTGAATACTGCTGACCTGTTTTCAAACATAGTAATTTCTGTGTCGCGATAGAATCATATTTTTTTTTTAAATAGTTATAATCTAGGCTCTACTTCTGTATCGAGCACTGTTTTTTTAAAAATAAAAACAAAAATACTAAAGAACTTCGGCTCATCATTCTAACAGTTCTTTCCTATAATATCAACTCACACACACACACACACACACACACACACACACACACATATATATATATATATAATGAAAGTAAAAGGTTTGTCACTTAGCTGATTGATGTTGCCTCCAGCATCCCGACTCTAGAGTTTCGTAGACGGTCCAAGCTTAGAATATTGCTGGCATATATGTCCCTGTGCCCCTGCTATTTATCTGAAGCTAAAGAAAAGAAACGCTTTGTAAGAGTAGTGCTCCTCTTGTCGAATATATATATATATATATATATATATATATATATATATATATATATATATATATGTGTGTGTGTGTGTGTGTGTGTGTGTGCACGCATATATACTGTTAGACTTTTATTGATGACTGAATAGGCATTTGTGCATATTGATTTTCATATATTGGTCATGATATTCCAAATATGATTTCTTGCAATGTCAAATATCGATTGTAGTTTCAAATATAAAGAGAGAATAATAAGTTGTAAATCTTAATCTAAAGTAACATAGCGGTGTACAAGGAAAGTACCGTCGTTTCTTTGAGCCATTTTTGCATTGAGATCATTTCGCCATCTCCTTTGAAGCTGCAAACTCGACTGATATGAAAAAAAAAAAACGAACAAAAAACAAAAAATAAAACCGGAAAAATCTAAATCAAAAAACAAAAACGAAACAGAACCCCCACCCCCCAAGAAAAAAAAAAAAAACAAAAAACTGGAATCTCTTTTCGTCTTTTTCAGGTGATATAGAATGAAGTGACTTAGGACTGCTATCACGTGATCTCGGTCGGACCAATTGCTGGTGTCATTTGGTTGGTGCATTTTAAGGACAAAGACCTCGCTTATACCTTCGTCTGTCTCATTGAATCTGAATGAATTTAAGGCCTGCGTTTTGATCGCGCAGAGACAAGCAGAAAGCGATCAAAAGCAGCTTAATTGCGAAATTTTCTATTTCATTAGAAATTCACGGTGGTTTGCTGTCGCTCAACAATATGGAAGTAATTTGAGCAGTTTGCAAACGTGTTTTTAATATCAGTTCTGGTCGAGAGAAAGTAAAAGGTAATAACAAAAGAAGAGAAAAGAGAAGAAAGAAGAGTTGACAGTAGCATAAAATAATAGAGAAGAAGAAGAAAGTGAAGTAGAAGATAAGAAGAAGAATGTGAAGAAGAAGAAGAAAGTAAAATAGAAGAGAAGGAGAAGGTGAAGTAGAAGAGAAGAAGATGAAGAAAGTTAGGTAGGAGATAAGAAGAAAAAAGTTAAAGAGATTGGGAAAGAAAAGAATTCAGTGAAGCCGTATAATGGGAAGAAGAAGAAGAAGAAGAAGAAGAAGAAGAAGAAGAAGAAGAAGAAGAAGAAGAAAAGAAGAAGAAAGAAGAAGAAGAAGAAGAAGAGAAAAAAACAAGAAAATATATTTAAGATGACCAAAATATTTAAGATGAAAAATAAAATAAAATTTAAAGAAAAGTAACAAGAAAGCGGTAAAGCAATAGAAAACAGATGAGGAAAGAAGAGGAAGAAGAAAAAGCGAAGCAGAAGGAAACAAGAAGAAAGACGTGTGTGTGAGAGAGAGAGAGAGAGAGAAAGAATGATAGAATTAAAGTCAACGTAACTATATGATGGTTAAAAAGAAGCGATATTAAAAAGAGAGAAAAAAAGCAGGCAAGGCATAATAATAATAATAATAAAAAAAAGAAAAGAAGAAGAAGAAGAAAAAGAAGAGGAAGAAGAGAAAGAATAAGATGATTATGGTGGTGGTAGAGGAAATTATGAAAAAAAAATGTGCGTTATTTACTCGATCAAAATTTATTCATACTTGAGTGAGAATTGAATAGGCGAAATGATGTCTTTTGTATTTCTGTTTCGCGAAGAGAAAACCAAAAACGTCAAAAAGCGAAAGCTGGAAAAAAAAAGGGACGATGAATGTGAAGAAAAGCTTTGGCAAGAATTGAATTTTGACAACGTCAAAAGATGTGAATTGAAATGGCCCGGGTTTACAGTTTTGGCGGTGCGAGGGGCAATGAAAGAAATGAATAGCAAAGGTGAAAACGGCAGAGAAAAAGATATCGCCAACAATGAATGCGTCGATTTCTCCCTAGCACTCCCCCACTCTCTCTCTCTCTCTTTCACACGCACACGCACGCACGCACGGAAGCATCCTCCCCACTGACACACACGTAGATATTCTTAATTGTATATTTTGCAGTAAGAGCCAGTTACCCTCCTTACTATCATGAATGGACTGATCCATTCATGATAAGTAGTCCTGGGTAATTGTCAACAGACACTATTGCAGCAACTTGTCTAGCTGAGTATTGAATATTTCTATCACGACTGACTCTGTCGAGGTAAATGTTGCGTCTTGCCAGACCCCACATCACAACATTATACATGTCATTTACTTAATTTGCTTGTAAGCACTGTGCACCTTATATTAGGATCAGGTTTACATCTAGTAATCTCTCTCTTTCAATGTACGATGTCCTTTCATAACTTTCATAGCTATCCACAGCGTCTTTTATTATGCTGCTCATTTGTTTTTTTCTGATATGCCTTCCTCCATCCATTTTTTTTGTTTGTCCCTGATTCTCTTGCTTCTATGCGCCATGTGAATGTTAAATTTCCCAAGCCCTCTTTCCTCATCATGCGTACCAAAAATCTCCACCGTAATTTTCTGATTGTTAAGAAGAGGTTGTTTGTAGTTTCTATTGGCCTTAAAAACTTCCTAATTTTGTCACATGCTCTGTCTATGGACTTCTCAGTATACGTGTGCAGAACCACATCTCTCTTGCCTCAAGTTGTTTTTCATTCGTGATAGAATTGCCCCGCTTTCAGTGACATATATAAAAGTAGAAATATGTAAAAATCCAGCTGTTGCCTAATAGTTAACAACTGTTTCTTTGCATTTAAATACTGCTTAAAACTTCCTGATTTTTCAGATGTTCTGTTTATGGTATTCTCAGCATTCGCCTAGAAAACTCTATTTATGTCGCTTCAAGGTTTATCTTTATTTGTAACGCAAAAAACAAAAAATTAAAAAACAGGAAAATTTCATAAAAAAGAAAGAAAAGATAGCAAACAGCTATGCAATTTCAATTTTCCTATATGGTAATAAAAGCAGGATAATTGCCTCACAGATGAAAAGACGACTTGGGGGAATAAATAAGTGGTTCTTCAGATAGATGTTAAGAATACCATAGCTGGAGCATGCGTGCAACGAGGAAGTTTCAAGAAAAATGGAAAGATTTATTGATTCGTCTTATCAACTATTTGCCGGTTATTTAAAGCCAGAAAATAATTTTAGATTGTAAGAATTTTTTTTTAGATAATGATTTAGCGATACAAATATTACTAATTAACAAATAGCTGAGGAGAGGAGGCAGATTCATAGCTTTTCCAAGGATATCTGCGCGTGAAGTGAATATAACGAGACCAACTGGAATTGAAACTCGGTTATAGAATTAACAATTTCGAGACATTATCCATTACACCACCCGAACATCCAAGCTTGTAGCACCTGCTATCCCCAAGCGGTCATTCATGTAGATACTGCCCAGGCTCGACCTTGCTTAACTTTAGTGATCATACGGGAACCGATGTTTCATCGCGATGTGGCCGAAAGCTGAAAATGGAAAGAAATATGGCACTTGGACATAGAATCAAAAAGAGACGGTTGAACTTTCTGGGAGATGTATTGAGGAAATATAGTTCATAGAATCTGATGCTCACAGAAAATATGGATTGTAAAAAAGACAGAGGAAAACAGCGATTAACCTTCCTTATAAAAGGAAGTTGTGGACAGCCATGATCTCTTACGTCCTGTAAGGGTACAGTACATATAATAAAAAGAAGCTACATTCCAGATATGGCATTACATAACATTCGCGAACTCTTCTTCATGCATACTCACAAGGCAGATTGAAGGCAAGAGGGACGCATAAAATACATAGTGAGTTTGAATAAATGGCGGAACAGAGTTTCGGAGAAATAGCAGAAAGACAACATTTATTAAGAGCTACAAAGGACGGGAAGTTGTGGAAAACCTACGTCCTGAGGGAACACGGCACTTAAAAAATAGAAGATATTTACTTTTACTATTAATTACGTGACTTGCTCAGTTACTGAAAAGCATTTTTACTTGTCCTATGCACATCTGGATTTCTGTACCTCGCTTTCGATCTTCACAGGCACCTCGACGTGGTTTAATGGCTAGCAAGCTTGTCTCGCTAGATCAATTACGTCTTAATAGTGAGTTTGATCCTCACTGGGTACCGCATAATTTTGGCATTGTGCAACATCTAAGCTACACTTAGTAAATTAGACACTTCGGCATGGTATAAAGGTTGGCAATCTTGTCTCGCTAGACCAATTACAACTTAATAGGGAGTTTGATCCTCACTCGGTGCCCCATAATCTTTGCTTTGTGCTACATCTAAGCTATGCTAGAGAAAATTTATTGGGTGACTTAGTGTAATGGTTTGCAAGCTTGTCTCGTTAGATCGTGAATAGTGATTTCGATCCTTACTGGGTGCTCCATACTCTAGGCCTTGTGCCACATCTAAGCTACGCTTGGAAAATACTACACGTTCAATCTTCTGTTCGTACTCCTGCTTGATTTCTGTACCTGTTTCATTTTGACGCCATAACGAATAATGAAAATAAATTCCGCTTGACAAAACGAATTAAATCTGTTTTTGTCAGGTAACTCACCGAGTGTTACTGCTAACATATATAATATAACCCAGTACAACCTGTTCGGGTACCTGTTCTTCTTACCCAAAACACGCTACACATAAATTAATATCTCTAGTATACAAGGTAACTCGTCAGGTGTTCAGCTGTGCAGTGACCCTACGACCACACCCACATCCTGCGTATGACTACATCCGGCAGCAAGATCTCTGATTGGGTGGTTTTGAGGAGCGTGGAACCATCTCTGAATTGCTGTTGATCCCAGTTGCATCCTGACTCGGTCCCAGTTAGGGTCTCCTAGCTTGGACAAATATTTACCTCCAAACTGGGGTGAAAAGAACATGAAAGTATGAAAAATACATTTAGTGAAAAAAAATTACCAGCAATGCATTTTTGTAAAAGAAATTACTAATGCTCGCAAGTTAAATTTCGGTATTAAATTACTCATAAGGAGTTGACAGTGATTTTCCAAGCGTTACTTAGATGCGGCATGAGGTTGAAATTATAGGACACTCAGTGAGGACCGAACTCACTACTCAATCGTAACTTTTTCTAACGAGACAAACTTTCTAGCCATTACACCATCTCTAGCCACACTAAAGAAAAGGAGTTGATATGCCACTAAACAAACAAAGAAACAAACAAACAACTAGATGAAAGGCGACTGATGATGATGGTAGCAATTAATTATATTTGATTCAGTTTTAGACAAAGACAGTACATTTTGTTAGTTATTTATTAATCTTAGGTTTATATGAGAAAGGGCATAAAATCCAGACACCTCGTAAGGAACAAACTTATCGCACTAATGAATTGGTTTGTGAGATGACCTTGTTCGCTATCGTACTACGGTAGGTGACTGAGAATATTTTTGCAAGCACATTTAAACGATTTTTTAAAATATGCTTATAGGATTCTGAGTGTTGCTCCTTCTTCTTTCCTTCCGCCTCGATCATTGATTCCGAAATCTTTTTTTCTTTTTAATGTGAAACATAAAGGTTTGGAACCGAAAAGATGTTTACAAATGCTAGATCTTTTTCAAGAAATGGCATTTCGGAAAAATATATATATATAAAAAAAAACGGTAAAAGGGAAATACATATTGTCAGGATGAGGAAAAGAGAGATTTGTAAAAGTCGAAGAAATAACGTTGAGGATGACGATGATGTGGAGAAGTAGAAAGATCTATGATATCTATGAAAATGGTGGCAGAAGAAGAACAAGAAGAAGAAGAAGAAGAAGAAGAGCAGGAGGAGGAAGAAGAAGAAGAGGAGGAGGAGGAGAGGAAGAAGAGGAGGAGGAGGAGGAGGAGAGGAAGAAGTAGAAGAAAGTAGAGAAAAATGAAGTGTCATAAGTTGTTTGAATAAGACAATATAAAAACAACAGGAAAAAAGAAGTGGTTAAATGTGAAAGAGAACAGACGTAGGAGGAAAATTAAGAAGAAATCAGCCAGTTACAGTCACAATCGTAGTTATCGTAGTCGTTGTCGTTGTCTAAAATATATATGAAGAAGGAGGAGAAAGGAATATATGAAGAAGACAAGAGACTAATAATAATAATAATAATAAGACGAAGACGAAAAAATGTCCAAAGAAGAGAATAGATGAAGACGAAGAAGAGAAACATTTAACAAAGTAAGGAACTAAAGAAGAAGAAGAAGAAGAGGTGGAAGAGGAGGAGGAGGAGGAGGAGGAAGAAGAAGAAGGAATATATGATACAGAAAAGAATTGAAGCAGGAACAGGAATAATAGAATAAGAATAAAATGAATATATGAAAATGAAGCAGAAGTCATATGCAAAGTTTATAAATTAAAAAGAATACAGAATAACATAATAACAGAATAATATTATTAATAATAATAATGAGAAGAAGAAGAAAAAAAGAAGGAACATTTGAAGTATAGAATAGAAAAAGAGGAACAAGAGAAACATTTAAGGAATAGAAAAAAAAGAAAGAAAATATTAAGAAAAATGCAAAGAATATTTTAATAATTTAACGAAGAAACTGAAGAAGGAGGCGGAAGTGGAGGAGTAATATACGAAGGATGAAGGAATTGATGAAAGAGAATAAGCAAAAAAAAAAAAAAAAAAAACAAGACGAAGAAGAAGCAACTTAAGAACAAGGAGAAAAATGAACACAGGAAGAAATAATGTACGAAGAAGGGAGGAAATGAAGAAGAAGAATCATTATACGAAAAAGAAAAAGCTGAAGTAAAAAAAAAAACAAAAAAAAAAACAAGATAAAAAAAGATATTTTTTTAGGAAAACAATAATTAATAATCAAATAATTATGCAACCTGGCAATACATTGTTAATATCGCAAACAATTACGACTACATGAGGCGCTTCTTTTTTTGCTATTGTATCAGATAAAACTAATCTTAGTGCTTACTGTCGACCAGCCTGGTGAGCAAAATAGTTGCGTATTTTTTAATCATTTCACATCAAACAAACAGATACAGTCACTCCAGATGAAAAACGAAGATTTCTAAAACTGATTTTCAAGGATGGAAAAACATTTTGACGCAACATAATCTCCATGTGCAAATTTTTCCGCTGCTGTTTGGTCTTGTGCTCTTCAAAGGACAATAACAGAAGATGAAAGTAAAAATGAAAAAAAAAAAAGAAGGGAGAATATAAGGTCGATGCAACAAGCAAGATTTGCATTAATGATTGCAGAAGGAAAACAAAAATTAAGCCAAAAGAAAAAAATCAAATTGAAGCTGTCAAAAAAGATGGACGACTAGTTTCCCGATCTGAAAATCGGAAGCAGGGATAACAATGTGAAGCCGGATTTTGGCGACTCACCATCTTACCATCGCTGTCGATCGATTTGTCCGCTAATGTTGACAACCAGCACTTTGGAAACATATTTTTTCCTTTTTTTTTTTTATTTATGCTGTTACTTGGCTGGGCATCGTCGACAGATGGCGCGCATCTTTGTTTGACCTTGGCCAATCAAGAGGAACAGAACTGCTAATGCAAATAACCGGTATTTATTTATTCGCTTTTTTTGTTTATGTTCTCATTTCTGTTTTAATTATTCGTCGAAGAAGAAAGGTGACAATAAAAAGAAAGAAAAGGCCGAACGAATGAAAAACAATAGCTGCTGAACACGAAAGGGAACCAACACATAAGTTATCATATGAATTGATGAAGGTTTATTTAAAAAAAGGACCTAGTAAATTTTTTTCTACACTTATTACTTAATAATCAACAACGCATTAATTTCACCCTTAAGAAATATTACGAACCTCTTTTCTTTTCAACAATACGAAGGACGCTGAAAAGCTTATGCTCCAAAATAGATGGGATTTTAAAAAAACCCTTGAAGTTTTATAAGATTTTGGGAAGAATCCGTAGTGCTGAGCTATAGGCCTTGATACTTTAACTATTGAAGCGGCTAGAGGACGTGATATTCGCTCATAGAACAACTTAGAGCCTTTAACAAGTTTGGATCTTGAGATTACTGGCGGCTTTGTAAGTGTGCTGAACATGAGTAAATCCGCAATCTCTCTTCTCTTCAGTCAGTTAGAGGTATCGTCATCTACTGCAGATAAAGAAGAATGCTTCACTCGAGAATTCTTCTAACTCCATTCTCGACACTTCAGGAGTATCTGTTTCATCTCCCACCTCCTTGAACGGAATATCTAATGAGTGACATGCACATAACTCCGCCCATGTCTTCTGATATCATCTCTAAACAAGATCCCTACAAGGCCCGCGGATTTGACGGTATCTCTGAAATTATCATAAGGAAATGTGCCCCTGAAGTGGCCCCTGTTCTTATCAAACGCAACAATAAATACCTTGCTGCTTCTCGCTTGTTAAAAATCGTCTTCTGGAGTTCCGATCTTTAAATACTCCGGTGAATCTAATATCGCGTTATTGGTCTCTGGTATCCGGTAAATTGCTCGAAATCAATTGCA